AGCGGTTAAGAGCACTGATTGCTCTTGCAGAGGATCCAGGTTTGATTCCCAGCATCCACATGGCGGCTACTAACCATCCTTAACTCCAGTTCCAGGGGAACCTGAAGCCCTCTTCTGACCTCCGTGGCATTGCACAACGCAGGTGCACTCACATACATGCAGGCAATATACTCATACACATAAAATAAAAATAATAAATAAAATATTTTAAAAAAGAGACACCCAGAAGTACTGACCTGAGTGTGAGCCACAGGCTAACAAAACTGGGAGAATTTTTTAATGCATCTATGGAGGGTAAAATGTTAGCACCTATGAAAGAGCTAAAACATAATCTGTTTCCCTCACTGGTGGTTTAAATACCATGTAGCTTGATCTGTTGCCAGAACTGATTGATTGTAGCGTCCTACTGTGAGGTCAGTGACCTCATCTCTGGTAAAAGACCCAGGCAGAACTGTTCACAAACAGTCCTGATGAGCCATTCAGGGAGCAGTGTGAACAGGAGTCCAGGCCTGTGGGTGTGACGTAGGGATCGTTGTATGGATATACAATTTAATGTGCATGCGCCTCTTACACTTCCTTTCTTTCTTTCTTTTTTGGTGGTCAAATTAGGAGTCCTTTATTAATAGCCAGTGGTCAGAGTGGGGGCTAATGCCCCCCAAACTCTCAGCGCCAAGGAAAAGCAGGGCATGGTTTATAAAGCTTAAAACCACAATTATATCATGCCAGGGGCAAAGTCAATAACCATAGTTACATCAGATCACCATAGTTACACCAAGCCCAAAGCCAGTCAGTTAACAAAGGTTTTCAGGTAACAAAAAGTTTTGATAAGGAAAAACCAAGTTTCTCAGAATTGTAGAAACACTGGGCTCCATAGAGACGCAGGTGTAGCTGGGAGGGAGAATGTGCTATCGGGACATGCTACTTGGCTACTGGAAGTTTCCCGGTACTGCTCTTACACTTTGTTAATGTTTGTTCATAGTTATTTTTTTTTATCATGAAGATGGCATCTCTTCTGAACTCTGAAATTCACATCTTCCTGTTAACTTCGTGGCTAACCCAGCAGGTAATATAGATCATCCATTCTGAACCCACATTCTGCTGACATTGCTTTCCTCTCACCCCCATCTTTGAGATATTATAGTTCCCAGAGTAGAGTCCGCGGCTAGAGCCAGTTAGAACACAGATCCTGAAACAGTAAGTCAGTCAGTATGGAGGGGCAGAGCTGGGGTTATGGACATGAGCAAAGTATAATGACATCTACGGATGAAATGCTATAATGATGCCTATCATTTTGTACATTAAGAAAATTAATTCAATAAGGAAGAAAAGCATCAGTAACTAAAATGGAGTCACAAGCCTAGCTTCTCCTTTCTACCACACTCAAGTGTAATGAGATTACATTCACATATGTGCTATGTGTGAGTGAACCCTTCGATTAGAACATGTAAAATCTCATCTGAGTAAGAAGCCCATCAATAGGCTTTGGGCAGCATCCAGCACATGCTGGTAACCCAGAAAACAAGTTAAAGGACTCTTTTCCCTCTTACAGGTGACCACAGAGCCCATCATACTAGACATGGCTTCCACTGTATTTGATGATCAGTATGAGGGCTGTGTCAAAGAAATGGAGCAAAAGGCACTCCAGATGTTAAAAGAAGACTTCAACATGAGTGAAACATTCAAAGCTGCTTGGGAAGAGGCAGAGAAACACTGGAAGATGAAAGCAGGGAGCTATCCCAGCGGTTTCAATGATTTCCATGGGACAGCTCTAGTGGCCTACACTATGGAAGCCATTTTCACAGATTTTAACAATGCAACAAGAAAATTCACAATTAATTCTAGCCACTGTTATTATTACAGGGCCTTCCATTATTACTTAACAAGAGCTCTTCAGCTTCTAAGTAATCCAAATTGCTACACAGTTTTTAGAGGCACTCAAATAAAATTTGGTTACAGTGGGAAGGGTAGTGTACGATTTGGGCAGTTTACTTCAACATCTTTGAGTAAAAGCGAAGCTGAACGTTTTCTAAAACATGGTGGAACGTTGTTTGTTATTGACACCTGTTTGGGTGTTGAAATCAAAGAGTTCTCAAAGTTCCCTGATGAAGAAGAAGTGTTAATTCCGGGATATGAGGTGTATCACAGAGTCTTCACATCACCAACTAAAGAAATACCACTTACAAAGTACAACACAATTTATCTTAAGTCTCCCCAAAGAGAGAACAGCACCTACAATTGCTACTATTATAACAAACTCAAGAGCAGCTCAGGTGAGTCTGCATCTGGGTTAGAGGTGGAACTGGTGGGACCATCACGAAGTAGAAGAGGGGACGCTCCCTACCAGAAG